CTTTATAAAAAATAGCCAAGATAAACTAAATCCAGGTAAAGCTATTCAATATTAAAAAGACGATGAACCTCGAAAAATACTGATTAAAGAAAAATAATTTTTAAATAAAATAAAACAATTAAAAAGAAGAATAAAAATACGGCACACATAATAGAAAGTAATGAATAATGCAGATAAATCAAGTGAAAGTAAATATTTTTAGTAGAAAATATGTGTCACAAAAGAAAATGAGTAAATCTCTCACGTGGTATAATCTTATGACAGGAAATTTAAAATCATATTAATGAAATCTTTCCCAAAATAAAATTTTTCAACTGAATATAAATATCTCTTATGTTAAACAAAAGATGTTTAATTTAAAATGGAAATATTATTTTTTTAAATCAAATACTAATGATAGTTTTATGTGGTTGTTTGCATTTCAAAATTACGCTGTATCTTTCAGCAAAGCATGGGCTTAAAAATAAACTTTTCTAAATTTAATGTAACCGAAGAAAATTTTAATATTTTGATTAGCTAAAAACACAAACACTTACATACCGCTAGAAAAATCGCAACACAAAACACGCTTTCTCTGTCAAACGTACCTTACAAATCCTAGCTAAAAGTGTTCACAAGACTGAAACAATTAAATTAACATAGATCTAAAATTTACAAATCTGGTGGGTGCCAGAAGAGAAGAAGCTCCCATTCGGTAGCGTTCGATTATCCTCGTGGAAATATTCAATTTCAAGAGAAAAAAAGCAAAAAAACACTGTGGTAATTAGAGTGGTTATGTTTTAATTTTTCGGGAGATTCTAGACATGTTTATTAAATTCTATTTTTATGTTCAAATTCTCTTTGATTTACAAATTATATATGCGGCATTATAGCTGGGGGTGGAGCGTCGCTTTCATTTTAGTTTCAGAAGGGGGGAGATGCGACCGTAGAAACGTCGGATCCTGTGACAATCTTGTCTAGCCAAATATTTTAGATTTAACTTAAGCTCGAGCTCTCTGGCGAGGATGATACTCCTACAAAAATGTTGCTTTTATTTCACACAGCCGCGTCTATTAATTATACTGGAAACGCCAATGTAATTTCAATCCCGGACACATTTAAAAATAAAACATTCACAGGAATGATTTAATAATATAAGAAAACATTGGAAACAAGGAAAAGAAAGGCGTTGGCAATTAAAAGAAATTGAAATTGTTCTGAAGCTATTTTCTTGTGACAACTTAATGCAATTTAATATTTTGTTGGGAATAAGCCACAATTTTACTTTAAAATAAATTTATTTGAAAAAAAAACTGGTTTTTGTTACGTGGTGAAAAATTCTTCTAATTTAATTCATTCAAATCATTAAATGTTCTTCTAAGAACGAATTTTCGTTAGAACTAGTTATTTTGGCTCTATCGTATAAGGATTTAATGACTGCCTTTTTAATATTGGCGTTGAGATTTGATTTGCAATTAAGATATCTGTCGGTGTGTGTGTGTGTTGCTTTTCTATACACCTGAGTCTCATATCCAATATCCTTTTTTTAAATTAAAATATCAACTAAAGGTTGTGTGCTATTATATTCCTTTTCCATGGTAAATGTTAGTCATAGAATTTTTGAAATATGTACACTCTCTTTGCGACTCTTTCTTTTAGTACCTGTTAATGATACTGAAATCAGGAATGATGTTTTACTGCAAGGATATTTTCCCAGATGTATTAAAAGTAACAAAAGTGTTACCAGTGTTCAAAAAGGGAGCTTTAAATGAAATTGGAAATTATCGTATCATCTCAATTATTCCCATTTTAGTCAAAATTTTTGAGAGCATTCTAAATGTTCGTTTAATAGAATATCTAGAAAAAGACAAAATACTTCACTGTAAGAGATATAGTTGATGGCTTGGAGGAAGTTCATTTTTTATCTTTGGCATTGTGTGACTTATGCAAAGCTTTTGACTGCGTTTCGCATGAATTACTGTTGGAAAAAAATGCATAAATACGGTATTAGGGGAAACACTCAATCTGTTAAGATCTTACTTCTTCTTCTTCTTCGTCTAGCCATTCACGTCGACATCTGAACATAAGCCTCTTCAAGTCTTCCTTTCCATTGTTTTTTATTGTACGCTACTTGTAGCCAATTTTTCCCGGCAGTCCTTTTCAGATCATCTGTCCATCTCATAGGAGGTCTGCCTCTGGGTCTTTTGTGTTGGTATGGTCTCTAGGTTAAAATTGATCTGTGCCATTTGTTTAGATCGCTCCTAGCTACATGTCCAGCGTATTCCCATTTCAGCTTTAATGCTTTTTGCACCACATCGGTGACTTTGGTTTTCTGTCTTATCCATGTGTTTGTTTTCTTGTCCTTAAGTGATATACCTAGCAGTGCTCTTTCCATCGCGTGTTGAGTGACTCTAAGTATATTCATATTCTTTTTTGTGATTGTCCATGTTTGTGCCGCATAAGTTAATATCGGAATAATGCATGCATCAAAAACTTTAGATCTAAGATGTAATTGAATTTGTTGATTTCTGAGTATATAGTTCAGTTTACCGAATGCTGCCCAAGCTAACTTTCTTCTTCTTTTTATTTCTTCAGTCTGAATTTCCCTATTTAGGATTATTTTTTGTCCCAAGTATATATATTCTTCAACTTTTTCTATAACTTTATCGTTTATTATTGTCACGGTGTCTTCGGAGTGCATGACTTTTGTTTTGTTTAAATTCATTTTCAGTCCTATTTAGAAGATTCGGTATGAAGTTCTACAAGCATGGTTTGCATTTCTTGTAGGTCAGTAGCTAAGATCGTACTTAACAAATAGAAAACAGGTAGATTTTCTTAATAACAACTATTCTGAGTTTAACACTGTCGAATATGGGGCTCCTCAAGGTTCGATATTAGGACTCACTTTGTTTCTAATTTATCTGAACGATTTATTTCACTATACTTAACTCTCATTAATACTAATATTGATCAGCATAATTAACAGTGATACCCAGAAAGCAAAAACTGGTTTTTACATAATGGGCTGAAGCTAAATGAAAAGAAAAACCAGAATTTGATTTTTAGTTCCGATTGGAAGTATATCTCAAGAAATAGTGCTAAGCTATTAGGAATCTTTCTAGATGATAAATTGGATTGGAATGCTCATACAGATTACTTAAGTTCTAGACTTGCTACGAGTATATTTTTGATACGCAACTTAGTTTAGATGATTTCTAAAAGTACCTTTAGAATGTGCTAATTTGTACGGTGTAAAATCGAAATTAATGGGAAAATAATAAAGCCGGAAGCAAGGGTTATATATCTCGGAATAGATATAACTAGTTACGGAGATGTTGAAGAAGAAGTACGACAGCAAAGCTTAAAAGCAATGACACAATCTGGAAGAACCAACACCTAAGACAAGACACAAAAACAAGAGTCTATAAAGCAGGAATTAGACCTATATTAACATACACGGCTGAGACAAGACCTGACACATCTAAAACGAGACGACTGCTAGAAACAACAGAGATGAAAATACTCTTACGAATATCAAGGAGAAGTCTGTTGGATAGGGAGAGAAGCAAAAACATAAGAAGAGCATGCAATATAGAAGACATAAATGGATGGGTGACAAAACGAAAACAAAAGTGGAACAAACACATCAGTAGAATGGCGGAGGATAGAATAGTACAAATAGCACGAGATAAGTCACCAAATGGACGAAGAAGTATTGACAGACCAAGAAAAAAATGGTGCGACAATTTAAACAATTTAGGAAGCTAATATTAAAGAAGAAACAGTCTTTAAAGCCTACAAACTAGAAGGAAGAAGAAGAAGAAGATCAATGTCTTCTACATCAGAAACTTTATAATCTAATCTCGGCGGCAAATAAACCACATTAAGTGGCATTTTCACAATCTAAGTCTTCTTCTAATAAAGCTATTAACTCTTTAGTAGTTCGTGCCATCTTCATTTCATATTTTGAAAATTTACTGAAAGAAACAAATGCACTGCTATATAAACGCATTCATATGATAATAGTTTAGTTTACTTTATTTTAATTTATATGAACTTCATATTATATTTTCATATTTATATAAACAAATAAACACAAGCAAACTTTCAAATTAAGTTAAAAAAAACAAATATAACGTTTACAGCACACAGCAATTCTATAAATAGAGAATGATGTGAAATTAAAATTGCAGATTGTTTTTAGTCTAATGAAAAAAAAAATTATTTTCCAAAGTTTTCTGTTTTTTTGAAGTTCTGTATTAGATACTCTCTAATAAGAATGAAATTTTATTTTATTTGGTTAGACAACTATAAGATACCTGTTAAAAGAGACATGATAATTTAATAATTAAATCGGTCTTAGATTTAATTTTTACGTAATTACTTATGTGTTTAAATAAATAATTAAAAATTTTTTTGGTACGCTTCTGCAAAATTTATAATTTCAATACGATTTCGTTGAAAAGTTATCGTGTTGAAAAGTTATCGTATCGAAAAGGACTTCGTTAAGTACGATGTTCCCAAGTAATCACCTTCAATTAAAAATTGTTTTAGTATAGTTGATTTAAAGAATACCCAGTAAAACTATTTAAAATTTCTGGAAGATTTAAAAATAACGTAAATCAAAATATAAAGCAGCAACAGCAATAAGATCAATTTTAGTTTTAAGCGAAAAGAAACACGACACAGACGTATCCAGGAAGAAAACAAGTATATACCTATAGTTCTAATTCCGAGATTTATAGAGAAGATAACTAGGGCATCAAGCGCAAAGCAAAATTTAATAAAATCAGTTCACTAAAAACTGACGATACACTTTAGACTATATATTTTTTTAAAACTAAGTGGTTTTATTATACTTATACGCCTATGAAAATTATTTAAAGGAAATATTAAGCAAAAACTTTCAAACAATAATTTTAGCTATAACACAACGGATAATTTACTCCAAATTGTTAGCAATTCAGGATACGCCTATGTGTTAATCAACCAGTTAAGTCGCCAATCTCGACACCACTCAC